CAGGTGATACTTACATCCAGGTCATCCATGGCTGGAGGGGGGCCTTTTTCTGTCACCTTCTCCAGCATCTGGATGGGAAACAAACATCTGGATCCCCGAATTCCTGGTGTCCCCCCATCCCACACACCCATACGATGTGCACACGATCCTGAGGCCGGTGGCCCGGCTCACCTCTGCGTACTGTTCCACCATGGCTCTCTCCACCTCCTCGTCCCCTTCCCAATCTCGCCAGTTGTCGAAGTCCACGGAGAGCCAGGCTGGCTGTGGGCACAGAGAGCATCCCCTGAGTGGGGGAGCAGCACCACAGGGACCTGCAGCCCAGGGGCAGCTCCTGCACAGGTGAAGGGCAAGGGCAGCAAGCAGGAGTGTCCCTTTGCCTGCAGGCACTGGTCCTGATCCTGCGTGTGTCAAGGAAAAGGGTGCCACGTCCTTCCTGGAGGCAGAAGTCTGTGGGCTAGTGGTGATTATCAGGTAGGGCTTTTTGGGAGCTCTTGGGATCCCCTGTGGAAGCCTCTGTGTGTGTCCTGGGGGCAGGTTGGTTCCTAGGAGCCAGGAGGTGCTGAGTGGGGATGGCACATGCACTGAGGCACCACACACACCTTGATGTTCTCCTTGGTGATGCGTGGCCAGGCCACTTTCTCCTTCCACTTCCTCATAAAGCAAGTGATGGAGCGGTCAGAGCGCTTCTCCCGTGAGTCCTGCCAAGAAATTGGGGTGCCTCAGGATCTGCCAGGCTCCTCTCTGCTCAGCCCTGTGCAGGCCGTGGGGTCACAGAACCACAGACAGGTTGTTTCTGGCTCAAGGCAGCAGCGTGAGTATCAGCCCCAGGGCTGGGGCTCTCATGATGAGCAGCATTCAGTGTTAGGCAGTGTTGCTCAAGACTGCACAGATTGGCTCTGACTCTGAGCCTGACAGAGGCTGACAGAGAAGAGTTTGTTGGCGGGAGACCTCACCTTGGAGTTGACTCTGGCGTATAGGTTGATCTCGTTGTAGAACTCCACACCGTCTGCATTTTTGCAGCTGCCAAAACATAATAACAACCGGGCTTAGGAGAGAGCTGAGGCCACGCGTGATCTCCTCTCACGGAGTGCTCCCGCTCCCCCGATCCACCCCCAGAGCAGAGCAGGGCCGTGTCGGTGGGCAGGGCAGCGGCAGCTCACCTGAACTCCAGCCGGTGGTCCTCGATGAGCACCTTCACGTCCGTGCTGTCCTCCACACAGAACTCCAGGTACACGTACCGGGGCCGGTCGTACCACAGCGTCTTTGCGGGTTGCCTTGGGGAAGAGCAGAGCAGCGGGTATCACCGTCACCAGCGGGCATTTCCCGGTGCCCAGCAGAGCTCGGCAGGGGCCAGGGGCGAGGAATGGGCCCCGGACATCGGCTCTACTTGT